AGATACTCAAAAGCTTAAACAGCATCGACAAAAAAATTTTGAAATTCTTCCATAGAGAACTGCAGCTAGTCGATGCCAAAAATATGAATTCAAAAACATGACAATCTAATGCAACGGTCAAATAGGGCAACCTGCAAAGTTAGCCCACGGAACAGCGAGACAACAATAAGGACCATCCTCACAGGGAGCCTGAAACCTCATAATGTAAAAGGAACTTCAGCGCTTCTAGCTATAGCAAATTCATGGAAGTTAGTTTAAAGATGCAAAAATCATACGTTAAAATGATAACACGTGAAAGTATAATGGCATCTCGCTGTTGAAGATTTTCTGAAAGCTGCATAAAATTTATGAATAGAAATATTCGCCAAATTCTCGCACCAATAAACTGAATACAACAGTCAGCACAAAGTGTATAATATTTGAAAAACTAACTGAAGTTGAATCTGTTCTGTAGCCCATTTCGAATCCTCCACGTTAGTATTGCATTTTTAAGATTATGTAACGCACCACTGATGGTCTGAAAATCAGTCAAATACAAATTAGTGGCGCTGGGACCAAGGTGGCTGTGCATAATAGCCGAATTAAATGACAGAAAGGAAATGTTCTAAGTGTCATAGTCCAGCAAAACTTTCTCCTGGTCTTGATCCTCAATTTTCAGTTCATTAGAGGTTAAGAAGAAAGGAAAGGATGGCTAAGCAACTGTTCCTTGCAAATCCAACCGGCAGAAGGCCCAGGAGACGGCCAAAATTAACCTGGTGCAAACATATAGAAGGACTCTGTTCCAGATTCCAATTGTCTTCTGTTGAAGCTCAGACCCTGACACAGGATCGAGGACATTGGAAGCACGGTCTGACGCATCGAAAGAGAGACTCGAAAGGAGAAGCGGTCATGGAAGATGACGATGATGGATGATAGAGGTTATGAAATCTTAATTGTCCCGTTCTAGGTAAAAACTTCGTGGCTCGCTAAAAAATTCACTGACGTTGTTTGCATTTCCTGATAAACTATGGATTGAGAATGAAGTTTATAAATTTTCAGTAAACTCTGATGCATATGGAAGGGATTCTGAAAATGCAATCCTTGCGCTGACATGACCGGATGCAAACTGACTAGTCTTATGATTATACATTCAGACTCCTCATGGTAGTTAGCGACAGTTCCAAAGATTATCTGACAATTACCCCAAAGTTTGCCTTGAACACTTGTGTAATATAATTTCCCAACTAAAATATAATTCTTGATACATTATGGTGACTCTCATTCACTGTCAAATTCAGAGGGGAATATTACTTCAGCCACAGCAGTGAACTTATTGAACCAACAAGTGAACCAACTATTATCATATCTGAAATATTATTTCTAACGGTCAGGCATTATAAAGCTAGGTTACTCTGTTGTTTAAGCTATTCATCTTAGATGTCCATGACAAAACAAACAACCCGGCAAAATTCAGCGTGTAGGCGTATTCTCTTTCCATGCGTAGCTCTACCGAGTTTTGGTATCATCATAAGGTAAACCGACATGGTCTAAAATTGAAACTTTTTCTATTTTAGTTATAAGGTTAAAAATTAATGAAACAAGAAATAAATATTTTTATGATGCTTGATTTGACAATGCCAAGAAAATTTTGAATGGTATCAAGAACTAAGAGTGCTGACGCAAACGCCATTGTAATGAAGGCGCTGCTTTTCTGTCCGTACGTTATAGGACCATCGCTGTATGACCTCGTATTGACCTGAGACTCGTGTTTCTTCCTCTCATAGCTTAGCGTCGTTTTGAATCCAACCAATCAGCGTCGCTTCCACATTGTGCCTCAAGCAGCGTCTTCAAACATAGAGCCAAGTGGAGGCCATTAGAGCAAAGTTGAACTGGGACACGATGGTCAACTTTACCGCAGCGGTCGATTTCATGAATGAGACTCATCCGCCGGCCGGCCGGCCGGTCGCTCGGTCGGTCGCTCATCAT